CTAAAAAAAAACAATAATAGAATGTTGCAGGGATAACAGAAAAGCGCGAGGAGCCCTTAAAGATGTTGTAACTATCCTATAGACATACCCTCCAGAAATTCATGTCGTAATTGTTCTATGTAATTTAAATAGAAACGTTTTTTTGTTAATAGTTCATAAAATAATGCTCCCATAAAATATATTTGAGTTTTTGCAGCATTGTAACTAAGATCTTTAGCATAAGCATGTAATAGTTCGGGAGCTAGAATTAAGAGAATATAAATTATTGCGTAAATTATTTATTATAGTTAGAAAAAATAAACTTACGATAGAGTATAGCAATTTTAATTGATGATTGTTGAGTTCTGTTTTTTACACTAGAAATAAAAGTGGTATCATTAGCAAAAGTAAATTGAATTGGTGATCGTTTTCGTTCAATATTTGTTGTCACATCGATATAACCAAAATCGATAATATGTATATCCTTTGTGATCTTATTAAATAAAATATTTTTAGAATGTAAATCGAGATGAACAACATTTAAATTTATCAATAATATTTTCAATTTTTTACATAAATCCAATAACATTTTAAGAATAAATTGAATTTTATACAAAATATTTCCTGGATCAATAATAACTTTTTCAATATAATTTGTTTCAATCATCGATCTTAATGTTAGAGAATGTTCAACTAAATCCATAATAATCACATCCATTTTTGATTTTGGCATATTAAAATAATCGTAGAATGTTGGAATAAAATTTGTATTTATAAATATATTGGCTTTATAATAGGCATACGCTTCACCATTATAATAACCTTGACCATAAGCTGAACAACCAGAACGATAATGAACATGTTCGACTTGATTATCTGTCATTGTTGAATTTATTTTCCATAAATAATCATCGACACAAGTAAATACTCTATTATTCATAATGAATTTCATGGCTAATGATAATGGACCATATTTATATCGTATAACTTTTCCATCTAAAATTTTTTAAATATTAAATATTGCATGAACTAGATTAGATAAAGATTGATTATTTAAATAAATAGAAATTATAAGAAAGCACCTACATGCTCCTTGACCAACAAATGAAAATTGTTTATCACATAAACGTTTTCCTAAATATTCTTCAAATTCTTTTTTATCGATCTTCATTTGTTCACCTACCATAGTACAACTCTCGTATGTTGTCAATAGTTCATTATTATTTGCTAATATTAAATTGATTATAATTATAATTAATGAAAATTGTAAAAATAATAATTTATACATAAAAAGAGAGAACAATAACACTCTATTCTTTTCCCGTCCAACATTTAACCTATGTATAAGAGTTTTCTCAATATATTAGCTGTTTTTCATAGAGATGTTACTGAGCAACGTCTATCGTATGTGTTCATTATATACCAATAAAATTATTGAATCGATCAAATTTTCTACGAATCTATCAAAGATTTTCGTGTAACATTTTAACAGAGGACATCTAAACTATTTTTTAAATAGATAAAGTGGAAAATTTGAGTTATCTAATAAATTACGTTTTTCTAAGGCTGTACGAGAGGGTAGTATCTTTTTTTTCTGCAAGCTCTCTTCGCTTGCTAACAGACCATAACATTTTTCAACTTACTGATTGACACACAGTTCTTTTGTTATTTAGTGGTACGCTGTTGCTACTTCTACAAGAACAAAAATCCAAAAATGTGGATTATTCTCTTTTTTGCCATATTCTTGGTCTCTTACACAATGTCTTCACAAATTTTACTTTTGTAACGTTCTTTGTCATGCTTTTATTTAGATTTCAAGATCACCCTGTTCTAAATGATCGTTATTTGTTATTAACATTAATTGGAAAAGGAGGATTTAGTGAAGTTCATAAAGTAAAGTTATACTGCCGCCATATTTTATAACATTAAGCAATAATATTTCTATTTTTTTAGGCATTTTGTTTGAAAGAACAACGCTATGTAGCTGTTAAAGTACATCAGTTAAATAAAGAATGGAAAGAAGAGAAAAAAGCTAATTATATCAAGTATTATTTTATTCAAAATAATATCGACAACTTTAACGTTTTAATTTTCTCATTTTATTTTTAGGCATGCATTGAGGGAGTGCGATATTCTCAAAACATTAGATCATCCACGAATTGTCCGTTTATTTGATGTCTTCGAAATTGATACTGATTCGTACGTAATATGACAAATTACTGTCGCTTCTGAGGTGTGTTCTTTTTTATCCTATATTGTTTTGTATTTAGTTTTTGTACTGTACTCGAATATATCGAAGGAAACGATATTGATTTTTTCTTAAAACAACATAAACTAATACCAGAAAAAGAAGCACGTTCAATAATGATGCAAACCGTTAGTGCATTACGATATTTGAATACGGACATAAAACCACCTGTGATACATTACGATCTGAAGCCAGGTATTGGATAGATTTTATTCATCAGTAATTCGAATATTTCTAATACCTTTTTATTTTTGATTACTTTCTTTTAGCAAATATTTTGCTTGGAACTGGCACCAGTAGTGGTGAAATCAAAATAACAGATTTTGGACTTAGTAAACAGATGACTGAAGACACGTATGATCCCGAACATGGCATGGAATTAACATCACAAGGTGCTGGAACATACTGGTATTTACCACCAGAAGTTTTTGTGACCAGTGGTCCTAATCCACCCAAAATATCTTCGAAAGTTGATGTGTGGAGTTTGGGTTGCATATTTTATCAATGTTTATATGGTAAGATAGCATAACTAATTAAACTAGAATATTTAATTTCAACTCTTTTAATTTGAAGGTAAAAAACCATATGGACATAATATGTCACAAGCAGCAATACTAGAACATCAAACAATTTTAAATGCCAAAGAAGTTCAATTTCCTGCTCGACCACAAGTATCGAATGAAGCAAAAGTATGTTCAATCAAGTATTTGATTTTTAATTTAATATATTATAAACATCACAAATTCAATATAAAATATTCTTGATTAATAAGAAATATTTTAATTTTTTTTTAAGTTATTTATTCGTCGTTGCCTTACGTATAATGCACGTGATAGACCAGATGTTATTCAATTAGCCGAAGATGAATATCTTCGTTCATATCCAAAACGATCAGCAACAAATTCATCAGCAAGAACGGCTCAATTATTGATTAATGACAGTAGCAACTAAAATTTAAATAAATTAATAGAGAGAAAAATAGAAATAGTTTATATTTTCTTACTCGCACAGCATTATTATTTTTGGTAAACGCGAAACAAACAAACTCAATACATACGCGCGCTACGATTTACCCCGTCTTCTTTTTTTTTATTGTTTCTCGTGTTTGTCTTCTACGTATAAATATTTGTACATGTCATCAAAGTGAAACTTATTCTGTTCTATTGTGTTTGTTTTACTACTATTAATTCTTTTCGTTTTTTATTACCTCTCTCTTTCTCTCTCTGTCTCTTTGTCTTATAAATTTTTCGACACACATTAATACACACACACACACACATCATACACTAAAACACTTGTTTCTGTCTGGCAGACGAACGGTTAATTTTTTTTCTTATTCGTATCATGGCTATCTGATTATCTCTTGTTTATTTTTTAGACTATACGAAAAGATGTTTTTTCTTCTGCTCGTATTCACCTTTGTTTTGTCCTTTGCATTGCGTGTACATATGAATGTTAGTGAACCTGTTCTATACATGTTCTATCTCTTGAAGTATTCAGCATTGTCCCAAACAACAGGAAAAAACAAACGTCCACTTAATAAAAACATGACAATGAGTGCATGTACTTTGCATTTCCAAAATATTTATTTCCATACACAAGTTCAAATTCCATTTTCAGACACGAATGACGCTTCTTTGCTCTGTTACTCGTGCGAATATTTTTCTCTCAAAACACTCACAAACACATATAAAGAACTCCGTCTTCTAGAACACCTTTCATATTTTATTCTTTCTCAAAAATTTTTCAACTCTTCTCTTCATATCTATGCGAACCTGTATCATCTTTTATTTTTTTTTGTTAAGAAAATTGAACAATTTCGCTTAACTAATGATGCATATCACATCAAACACTTTATATGCATATATCTTTATATTTTCATTTGTTTTCGTTTTCTTCTAGTGTATCATACATAATATAGACTCAAATTACGTCTGCTTCTTGTTTTCAAATAAAAAAAAGTGTGAATAGCATCAATTTTTTAAACTTTATTTATTGAAAATATTGCCGTCGATAGTAAGAAAAATATTTAGCTAAACATATAAATTCTGACAGTTGTGTATTTGAATGGTAATTGTAAACTACTGTCAATGATGTAAATAATTATTTACTGAAGAATTAATGTTGTCGGTTTATAGTACTGAGACAGTTGCAACAGTTACAATTAATATAAGATGAGAACAACACAAGATATTTCTGTAATTAACAATGTAGTAGATTTATTTCGTGTTGATTTTGTTTTGTTTTGTTTGATGTAGTATCATATAAACAAAAAATTGCTTCATATTCATATAGAATTTTAATATATTTATTTCATCTTTAGAATTGATAGTTTTATTACGTAATTATGGTATACAATTGAAAACACAAAGAATTGCTTTAGATTCGAAGCACAAAGATGTCAGAAGCAATAAGTAAGATCCATTTCTACTAACGCATCTAGCTTAACTGTTCTTTTTACTGTATTGAAGTGCAAATGACATATTTCTAGGATAGAATGCAAGTTTTGCTAACAAATGGTGGAAGAAATATATACTGAAAGTCAATTATTAAGTTAGGCCAGTTGATGATGATTTTTTAAGAAATAATTGCTAGATGGAATGATGACTTGAACGTTTATATTATCGAGAAAGGTATCGTCAAGAATGTTCATTGTTCATTACGAACTTTTCCGATTGAATTAGAAACTTATTTTTTATTTTTTTGAAGGTGAAGTGAAAGTTGATACTTTTATGTACTTAAATTTTCAATAGACTCTATCAACAGCAATTTGATATGTAATTGAAATATGAAGATGAATAAACTACAAGATTTAAAAATGAAAGTTGTTTTCATTTTTTTTTGTACACTTTTTCTATTAGAACTGTTTATTTTTTATGGTATGCTTCTAGAGTGAAAGAACTTTCATCAAAGACCTTCTGTTTTCATATGAAAGTTTAATATCCTGAACAATTTACTATAGACATAATTGACTTCTACTTTAATATAAACGTTAATAGTTTTCATACAGTATCTTAATTTTTCAATTATAAATTGATTTTAGATCATAAATTCAAATAATGGACGAAATTTTTGCCAATGCAAAATCGATTCTTATCGTGTGGTTTGATTCTGCTAAAACAGAGAATTTGTTACCATTCAAAGAAAAGATACAGATGAAAGCGAAACAAGCTGAAATTTCATTTGAAAATGCTCATATGCTTAATGAATGTAAGTGATACTAAGCAAACCTTGTTTCTTCGAACAAGCTATCTTTTATTTCTTTTTCAGCAAAACGACAATCATCATCATTTGACATTATCATTTACGGTTTGATCATTGAACAAGATATATGGCCATCCATTGAACTTTTAAATGAATTATTTCGTTTATTAAAACCAAATTCTTATATAATAACACACATAGCACAAGATAAAGAAGTGAATGCACTTGATCGTTTTAAAATGTGTGGTTTCGTTAATTGTAATAAACTTGATAATAATAGTTCATTTTTAATGGAACTTAAAGATTATAGTACGAGACAACTCGGTTCATTATGGTTATGCCAAAAACCATCGTTTGATATTGGATATTCTGTACCATTGAAGAATATTAAGCAATCACAAAAACAAGTACCTTCATCAAAACCGAATAATGTTTGGAAAATAAATGCTAATGACGATGACGATGATTTAATTGATACAGACGCATTATTGGATGAAGAAGATAGAAAGAAGCCAGACATTAAAAGTATAGTAACTGTTATTTGTTCGAGTGTTTATTTTTTAGAAAAGATTTTCTAGAATTATAATTAGAGACTGTCCTCTTCATTCAACTAAATAATCTGTTCCAATGTAATGTTTTGTTTTAACTGTATTTAGATTATGATTGTGGTACAGCATCGAACGGTGTTCGTAAAGCTTGTAAAAATTGTACATGTGGTTTGGCGCAAGAACTTGAAAAAAGTGAATATGATTCAGCAGCAAAAAATGTAAAATCATCGTGTGGAAGTGTAAGTTTTCCTTCACTATGTTTTGCATATATTTTTAAATTCTATTTTTGGTTTCAGTGTTATTTGGGTGATGCATTTCGTTGCGCTGGCTGTCCTTATCGGGGATTACCACCGTTTCAACCTGGTGAAAGAATTAATATTCCAACAATGTCCGACGTTTAATACCATAGTGAACGAGTATATGTGTGGACTATATTCTACTTTTAAATGTTATGCACAATCATGATTTTTCTTGTAAATTTACTACGTTGATTAATAAAGAAGAATGTATCATTTTGTGTAAGGCGCACCAAATGCAAACGTGCAATGGAAATTTTTTTCGATTAGATTATACATGCTTGGATAGAGCTCGACCACCTGATTCTGAATATGTAGTTTTTAATTTTTTTAAACGAAAAAACGAGGTTTTATAGAAGTTTATGATTTTTTAAATGTACGATAATTGCTGATTTGTTCATTTGAGTTCAATTTCAAATTTTGTAAAATGCCAAAGCGATCTTACAGTCAAAGACGAATGCACTCTTGGCTTACTGTCTTTGTATGTTGGGAGAATGAGAAGGATTTACTATCGAATGAAGAATCATCTGAAGACGGATTCACGCAGGAATCAACTTACAATATATACATGACGCACTCAAACTTTACTCAGCTACAACCCAGGCATTAAGAAGTCGAAGCACTCATGTTTTCAGACCTTGAGAAAATCATAAATTCCAATAAAACCTCGTTTTTGGTTTTCTAGAGACCTTCTAGAAGACTTCTCAAGATCCCCTAAGTATGTGTGTTGAATTCTACGTATTGTCTTACCTATATGTCGAGGTTAAAACCGAGATTGAATTTAATTGTAGGGAAATGGTGCAATACTACTTTTCTCGTTAGGCTTACACTCACAGTAAACTCTGCTTTTCTCAGCGAGGAAATAAAATTCCAAAGTGGTGATACGCAACTTTTTTGACTGCCACCTGATGGTTTGAATGGTGTATGAAAGGTAAGTCTAATTCCTCGGACAAAAGAGAAGATAGGTTTATAAGATCCAGCGGTCAGTGTGGTCCTCGATGATCCTATTCGAGTGTGGTAAGCGAGAGAACTACGATAAAATTTGATCCTACCTGGTTTTCCATACTCAGTTTTTGGTACTAAATCCGAATAAAATAGTTTCGGAAAACTAGACTTACGAGGGAACTTTTCGAGATGTAACCTTCCGATTCCAATAATTTGTACATGGATTCATAGACCTCAGTGAGGTAGTAAATATCCTAAAAGGATTTGTGCTCACCACTCCTGAAGATCCGGTTTTCTGAAAAATCAGTTTTTCAAGAACTCTAAAAAATAATCAAAATCTTTTTTAATATAGCCCGCAAATTTCTTACTGATAATATACCCTGTGCAATAGTATAGGAAAATGCAAATACTTTATTCTGTTTGTAAAAGCAGTTTTGTTTTGTAACTCATTCACACTCTTTAATTCATTAACAGTTGTACATAAAACACAATCCTCTAACAGCAGATTGAATCCGTCAATTAATGAAGATGCCAAATCTTTTTATTCAAACTACTATCTGATCGAAAATCGAACGGACTCGGTTTTTTTTTAATAGAAATTGAAAGGAAAGAGATGCAGTGTTGAAGTTTTCAGTTTCTGAAAGTGGACATTGGGGCATGCCTTACAATTAGATGGGATATAGGTAATCGACAAAGCTGAATTTTGTGGCAATGTTTCGTATCTGGTGAAAATTGATTCTGTATGAAAATAATCCATTTTAGACTATTTTACTTAATATTAAAAAATTCATAACTCCATCAAAATTCATCATAACGACCTCAAAACTTTAGAAGATAATTGATTTGGACTCCTCTACTTATCATATAACATGAAAACTGAAAGAGGTTTGAAGAAAAGGATGTGTTTTTTTCAACCAGATTTCTAGACAACCGTGGAACCAAAATGGCTTTCCTCATCTTCTGCTCCACAGTTATCGGTATAAGTCGAAATAATATATGTTCTGAAGTTTTGAGGTCGTTATGACGAATTTTGATGGAGTTATGAATTTTTTAATATTAAGTAAAATAGTCTAAAATGAATTATTTCACCTAAAATCAATTTGCACTAGGTACTTGAATTTACTTTAAGGAAGAAACATTGCCACAAACTTCAGCTTTGTCGATTACCTATGTTCCCCCTAATTTTACGGCTATCAAAGCCCTTAGATTTGTGTTGCGGGCTTCTAGAAAGCCCGATATCACACCTAAACCGCTGAAAATTAAGATCTCGCTTGACACACAGTTTGAAGAGTACACTTTGAGCTATCTACCCAGGTGAAAAGATCACTATATTGTTACTTTGATTTCTAGAGAACCAGATTGATTTTCCAAAGACTCTTCTAAAATCCTACTTTGGAAAAGGATTTTAAAATTCATTTTGCTTACGAAAAGACGTGCTCCGATGTCCACTTTCAGAAACTGAAAACTGCAACACTGCTTCTTTTTCCTTTCAATTTCCATTCAAAAACACCCGAGTCCATTCGATTTTCGAACAGATAATATTTTTTCGCTAAGTTTTTTCTTAAGTCAAAATCAATAATGATTTAAAATGAATAACACAAATCCCTTTCGATTTACGATAGCATTCTTGTAAGATTGCAGTATATCGACTAATTCCTAAATCAATAGAACAAAAACAAATTTTTCAAGAATACAACGGATAGGCATTTAGTTATCATGGAAAATATTTATATTATAAAGAAACAAAAAAACACTAATAAAATTAAAAATATTTGGTTTTCATTTTCACGGCGAAAGTGAATCTTTTTGCTACGCTGCCAAAGAACTTGGATTTTTGTACTAGTCTTTCTGACCTTGATAAGAGCAAAAAAAGAAGTATAAAAAGATTAGTGATATATATCTGAATATAGCGGTTTTTTATTATTGTTGTTTGTAGGAAATAGTTCGCACTATTGTTCAACGTACACATTGAAAATGAATCTATTACCGTAAGTAGGTCTTGATTCCTTTAGAAAAAAACGTAGTGACGATTGTTTATCAAAACCTGCAAAAGCGTTGTGTGATATGAACATATTAGAATTTTTTTTTTTACCATACTATGTTTCAAATTTTAGCTTGTTGCTCATTTTTTCTGTGTGCATCGGTGAAGGTAAGCACAATAAACGCATGAAGGGGATCTTATTGGATGTCCATTGGACTTGCACGGTAACTTCGCGAATAATTTCTATGTTAAGCGTTAATAAACCATCAGGTTTAGATTGACGTGTATATTTTTTACAGTATTTTCCAAACGTGTCGTGTGTTATTATACAAACTGGGCAGGATACCGTCCGGGCAAAGGAAAATTCTCAAAAGAAGATATTGATCCAAATCTATGTACACATATCATCTATTCATTTGCTCAAGTATCGGGAAATAGTTTGGCTACATACGATGGAAGCGACAATCGTAAGACGAGTAGCTCTTTTTTATTTAGATACTGTTTTACTAGCCTTGCATATTTCAGAGGGCTATAAGGATATAACAGGCTTAAAAGCTCTAAATCCAGATTTAAAAGTTATATTAGCCGTGGGAGGATGGAATCATGGATCCCAACCTTTCACGCAAATGGTGGCGACACCACAATCACGAACTGAGTTCGTGAAAAATTCCTATAATTTTATAAAAGAACATGGGTTTGATGGCTTGGATTTGGACTGGGAATATCCAGCTGACCGTGGTAGCCCACCGGAAGATCGAGAACGTTTTACACTTTTGGCTAAAGTAAGCTGAACGTTCAAATGATCTATTTATAACATTATTTCATTATATCAGGAACTGAGTGAAAAATATAAACCAGAAGGGCTGTTATTATCAGCTGCCGTTCCAGCAACCCCATGGCGTTATGATGCGAGTTATGAGCCTCAAGTTTGTCAGTAAGAGTTTATACCGAAGGCTTATATGAATTGCTTTGGCTTCTTCCAGATATTTAGATTTTGTAAATTTGATGACGTATGATTTTACCGGCGGATGGGAAGCCACTGCTGGTCACAATAGTCCATTAACAAGTCAGAAGCAAACAGTTAATAATATGTTAAGTAAACCCGACTGTACTGCCGATAAACTCAATCTCGGAATGGCATCTTACGGGTAGAAGGAAACTATAGATAACTGAAATTTTTTTAAAGTTATTTTATCATCCATCATAGACGCACACATAAACTAGCAAATCCGGAGTCAAACAACATAGGAGCGCCTACATATAGTAACAGCGCTATCGGCGGTCCTCAAACTGGCGAAAGTGGCTTCCTCTCATACTATGAAGTTTGTGACAAGCTAAAAGCAGGTAATTTTCATCTTACTATAGGTTGTTTGTTATTAATAACCCTATCAAACTATTACTATTAAGTTAGGTTGGACAGAAAAATGGTCCGATCAACATAGTGTTCCATATGCTTATTCAGGCAGTGATTGGGTTGGTTATGATAATCGTGAAAGCATTGCGCTAAAGGTAATTAAAAACCATACAATGATTAGCTAAGATTGAACAATACTTTTTTCATATCCAGCCCTGTTAAGAGAATACAATACTAAAAATGGAAGACTTTTGAGAAAGGTGGGATATTATCAGTGTTTGTATAGAAGAAGGTACGAAGTGAAAATAGAACAACGTAAATTTACCCTACAAAAATATTTTTTATTAGCACTTATATCACAGCGGTATGCATCAGTGCCAGAAAAATCTATTATTCTTGCATCGGTGTACATCCATGTTAAAGGACCCTGCCGGATTTAAAAATCTGAAAGTATCAAAAAGCTGAATAGCAGGTTCGATAGAGAATTTTATTGCGCATCTAACCATATTTGATTTTTGGTTTGAAACTATGATCGTTCCTCAAAAAATAATTTTTTAAAAAGTTTGATAATTTACTGACATGAGATGAAAAAAGTTTTTCAACTCAGTAAGGAGGTATAGTGAAGATATTGTTTATACCGGATTTTGTAGAGTGGAAAACGCGCTATAAACTGGCGATAAAAGAATTAAAAGAATACGGGTGTTGTTTGAGAAAAAAATATTTTTCGAGCAAAATTTCGAATTTTCATTTTTTATACGTTTCACTAAAACTTCTATAGCAGGTCAAAGAAATACAGTACCACCGCCAAACTTTGTCAAAAATTGCCCGATACTTAACGCTATCTAGTAACACAATTTGAGTCTTCAATGCCGGGTGCATCAATCAGAAAAAAATTCAACATTGATAAAGCTTCGTATATGTTATTGATCATTTTTGGTCTTAAAATTGATTTTTCTCATTTTCATTACGTCTTTTGTAAAAATAAGATAATATTCTTGATCCTCGAACAAAGCAGAATCGAATGGTATATTATACGAATATAGAAAAAGAAAAAAATAATTAGTCTTGACTCCTCCTATAAAAAACTCAGACACAATTTCGCAAACCTATCTAGTTTTTTCTTTGGAAAGATGGAGCCGATTTTTGCACTTCATTGGAACCGCCATTAAACGAGCTTTGAAAGTACATACCTTTCTTTCTTCCATCGTGCTTTGTCATAGAGAAAGTTTATATTTTCCAGATCAGAGGCGCAAAAATCGGAATTCTGCCAGTATTCTTAATTTTAATCATCGGGAATCGAGTTTTACGCAATAAAAATATCATATTCGGAACCAGCGTCCCAAACTACATCGAATGATGTACTTGGTTGGTCTATCTGACTACTTTGATTTTGTCAAAGGAGGGGGCCGCATAAGGTCGGGAATCGGCCCACTCTCTTTTTTGACTAAAAATGGATCCATATGTAGTAAAAAAGTGCCTCTATTCCGTTTTCGGTAAAATCAGATACTTTTGTCAGGTAAAAGCCGGTTAATTGCTGAACAATAGCATCTCAATAAGCACCGTTAAAAAGCCACCATATGATGAGTACAACAGATTTTCTTGAACTACCTTACACTGAAATGGTAAACTAAACACAGCATTAGATAGCCCGTAAAATTCTCTACAAACTGAGCTACTCAGAATATCTTCACTGATGAGACCAGTCATCAAAGACATATAAAACAAGCATTCGAGGGCAGAAAACAGCTCTAAAATACTCCTTTCGTAATTTTGAAGTCATTAAAGATATGGAAAAGAAGCGTTTGGATGTTATCTATGCAGTACAGTGTGTGATAATCACAAGAACTCCTTTGTTTTAGATCTTTAGTAAAAGCTGAAGCCAATCCGAATACTGTTTTGAATAGGCCGAAGATTTTTCTATCAAATGAGGTGCATATTGACATTTCATGAGAAAAGTTGATAATAGGGTTTCTGGAAAACCAAGTCCATGGTTTTTGGTCAGAAAATTTTCCAAACCATATAGCCTGATAGAGCATAGAATTCTGAATACAATAAGACGTCTCCCGAATGTCTGTAATGCTTTTCCACGCAGCTGCAGTCGATTTATGAACGGCTACAACGGGCGTTAAAATTACTAAAACATTACGGTGACAAAGTATTACAGACATTCGGGAGACGTCGCCCACGAGACCGCTATACCGCTATAAACCTTTATATAAAACAGCAGTATAGTTAACAGATAACTGAAGCAGTAGAAGAGAAAAGCTATGAAAACATCCTTCTCCTTTAAACTTTCATATCTGCACGTCTGCATTCAGCCGTTTAGCTTTGCTTTTTTGCAAAGGTTTGGTCTCTGTTTCGTGTATGTTAACATCACACCATTCGACTTCAAAAAAATAACACCAGCTTATGTGTATTTTAATTGGGACTGAAAGTATTTTTTGACATGAGATGGCTGTTTTGGCACGTTAAGAAGCAAACTTTCTTTGGGTACTACAGTCCTTTATGGATAAAAACGAGGCAATTTATAATTGATAGAAGTAGAAAATCGATAGATATATTCTGAGAAGTATAAAATAGTTGGATAATAAAAAGACAAGAGCGCACTTGCAGAAAAACAAATTTGCACTTCAAATCCTAACATTTAAAAGAAAAAAATAAATTGTTCTCAGAGAACTACAGTTTTTTTAAGATAAAAACTTAGGTACGCTTTTCACACAGTATTTTGATACTGCATGGGTAAAACTGTTCTATGCAAGAAACGATCAAAGATATAAAGTTTCTTTCAGTCTCTTTTTGTGCAGAATTCAGTTCTCTGTCTTGTACCATATAAAAAAGTTGAGATGGATTGTGAGTGCGGAAGCGTAAACATTGAGAAAAAATGAGTTTTCAACACAGAGGTAGTCCGCCTATTTTGAATTTTTCTCACTTTCTATAGCTTTTCAATGGAAAATGAAGCCGTATTTAGAATCAGCAGACAAAACCGAACTCAAAGACTTTTAAGTAAAAACATTTTTGGATGAATTTATGCATTCAGACTCTAAATTATATGAAAGGTGAAAAAAATGAAAAAGCGTCTAAACTCAAAACAAGTTGGCGTGTTAACGTGTTGAAAGTAAGAAAAACTGAATTAGCCATTTTATAGCCTGACTTCACTGTATCTTATGACTACAGTTCAAACTTTTTCACAAAACCTGCAGCGAAATAACAATTTTTGTAACGCAAGATACATCCACAAATGAGACGATGGTAAAAGAATGGTCGTTATTATGGATTATTAAGGGATTTCATACATATCTATAGCTGCATCGCAAAGCAGAAATTATCAATAGCATACACCCTATTACAAGGGGGAAACAGCTGATTTTGGGATTTTTCCGATTTTCACCAAATAAAAACTCACTGGAAATGACTGGAACTTATTGAAAATCACTGAGAATCAATTGATTTTGGATGATTTTCGGCTTATTTTGTGCTGATTTCAGTCTGCTATTTCCCCCTTACCCTATAATCTGACAAAGAGACTAAAAAGAATGTTCATTTGAGAAAAGTAAAATTAAATTTTGCTCTAAAAGTTTCTTTCGGAGTTATATATCCGTCGACAAGGTTGTTTGCTATTAATTCTGATATCTGAGCCTTCTAACAATCATGTTATATTCATATATCTATATTTCTTCATAGGAAGCCCTAAACTTGAACTAAACTTGAAAGGTATCGTTTTATTAGGTTATATAATGCTAACATTGATGGTTAAGGGAAAAACCGTTTCCAGACTGTCAGTTTCTTTGTTCTCTTAAAATTCAGCTTTTTCTTGTCATATATTTTCTAAAAGCTTCTAAAAGAGGAAATGGATCAAAGGAAATTGAAAAAAAAGATATATTTGAATATATCCGAGACGAAGAAAGAAAAGCGTAAGAATTGTTACCACCTGCTTCCGGATACATCCAACTGTGTTCTCATCTTGAATATATTATGATATATCTATGAGTCGATGACTCACTAAGGATATATCCAACTGTATCCTAAGATGAGGGTGCTGTTGGATATATCTAAAAATGGGCTATAACAATTTTTACAATTTACATTTTATATTTAACAAAACGGTAGGCATAAACAAAGAGAGGAATTTTCAAATGATCTCCTGTCTGACAGATTTAGACTTGTCACACTCGTTTTCTTTGGAGACAGAAATATATATCACGGTATATTGAAGACAGAAGATACTCTGGATATATTGAGTTATATAGGATATGCAAACATACATCACATTTTGTTTTGACTGGATAATTCAAAATTTTCTATTCGACATCATCATCAACACTATTACTTAGCAAATTAACAGATTTAATTGTTTTTCAGATAAAACTTGCGATAAAAGAAACATATCGTTCTGTTTTGTCGCAGCACATCAGCTTTTTTAAGGTGTAGCTTTAATTTGTCCAAAAATGACAAGAAAATAGTTTTTCGACTTGAGCTAAGTCCTAAATAGCCTGCCTTGGCTTATATGACGTATGATTCCGTTCCAGTCTACTTAATAAAGTGTGAGACTTGATTTCTCAGACATAATAACTGGCCAAAAGACTTGACTAGATTGATTACTGGAAAAACTTCTGACTTGAGTATCGCTGAATCTATTTTAAGAGCGATATGTCATTCTAATTCGTCCCGCATATCGAAGTATTTGGGACGTCGCTCTATTATGGAGTGTCGGTCTATTTTGTCGCAGGGTTTGCTCATGGTCTTAACGCATGATACTTGCATTCTTTGCTGCTTCTACCCAGTGTATAGAGCATATAGACACTGTGTTTATAACACAAGAAAAGAAAGAGAACAGTGAAGAGGGTAACAGAACCAGGAGCTGTCCGGTATGTCCTATAAAGTTAATCGTGATATATCGAGTTTCTTCTTTTTGCTTCCTTCTATAAAATATTCTGTAACCAAGAGAGAGGTGTTTAAAGCATACACAATTACAAGGCTGCATGGAACGAGCTAATGGTCTTTTAACTGTTACATTAGGTAAGTAGATGTCAACAAACACTTCAGGGTGAGAAAATCTTTTACCGGTTTATGAAATCAATACAAGGATTTCAGCTGTAACAAAAACAACACCATTTTAGGTCATGTTTGGCCAACGGGATTCAATTTATTGAATTGTCAAAGATAATAATATTGAGCATGAAGATTTATTACGAACTGCTGTTACTCAAAAAGCTTTTTGTACGGTCAATGTTTAGTAGTACCGTTTTATTTACAGTCATCACTTACTTCATTCACAGCGCCACAAACAGGTAAGTTTATACGCTTGTATAAAAGAAATATTTTCAAGTTCCTCAATATCAATTTCTTTTAAATCAGCAGGACAGGCTTCTTTGAAATCAATCGAACTTTCAGGTGTGTGAATTTTGTAACTTACCAAATCTCCAGGCTAACTTAAATGTTATATCACATCTGTTTTTCTTTTTGAACATATCAAACATGGTAACTGAAAAGTTTAGTATATGTTCGAGTAGCCGCATTAATTTGTACACCAACATATTCATTAATGTTGAGTGATTCCTATTTACTCTTTAAATGTGCATTATATTCTGTTTCGTTTGTTACTCACAGTATTGAGATAACTATCTGTGGCTCACGTTCTTATGATTTTTATATCTATACGCTAACGGCCAAGACATTTCGAAGCGAACCCCCTAGAGAAATACTTTTTATAAATTCTGATAAGAGCCTTATAAGAATCGTACTTGGGTCTTATATAAGATTCCGCAAAATAGTCCCAAGAATTCCACAAGATACATATTTACAATAAGATTTACATAAGATAATGATAAGGAATCCATAAGATCTGGCGAAAAGTTGTGACTTTCTGTTATTAGATCCTTGTCGATATCTGATATGATTCTGATAAGATTCTGGTAAGATTTCGTTAAAACAGATTATATAATTAGCTGCTAGTAAGAACTCATTAAAATGTTTTTCAACGATACATTCTCGGTCGCGATCAATTATGAAACTGATTGAGTTACACGTGAGTCGAACGAACAGAAAAAGCTGAACAAGATAGGCTAGTTTTAGTAGGATATCATATCCTTAAAGAACAAAATAGCAGAGTACCATGAACACTTTTACAAAAGAACTGCTGAATGTGTCGAATGAAACTGTTTTTTGGCCTCCTGAACTTTTTCGGAAAAAACCTGAAACATTTTACTCGCTTACCTGAAAAACCTGGCAGGTATTTCGAATTTTTCACTCTCATCCCTGCCGTTTTTATTCTTCTTAGGAGAACGCATGGAAAAAAAGCTTCGATGTGGAAGGAAACAATAGATACAGGTAATCTAGCTGAATCATTCATTTATTTAGCCAGGTGCTCACCATATTCTTTTCTGATCTTTCAGCAGTTGCTCGTTGTTTGCCGGCAGTTGGATTGAGATCGGTAAGACGTTCAGAATTCTCCATGGTTTACTACTTCATGATGTTTAATCCACCCAATAAAGTAAACTTCACGCAAAATAATACATCATCAATAGTAAAAATGTGAATGACATCATGATTCTATTGATTTAGCCCTCTCTCCCGTCTCCCCCTTCTTCCAATTAGTGAGTTAAGAACAGTTTCTCTTTTGAATGTCACAAGAAGGTCGTACGAGAGAACATTTCATCCACGACTTCAGGATTGGATGAGACGCAAGGGGCTGACTCTTGACTTTCATTTCGACTTTCTACCGGAAGTTCGTCTTCAGACTCGCATTTTATCTATTTCTGAACAACTCCGAATGTCTCTCTCGATCAACGGACGTAGTGCCTTACTATTCTGGGATTTTGTGTCTGTCTTTGACACGGTTTGGCATGATGCTTTCCTAATGAAACTGGTGAGTCACGGGGCTAGAGCTCGTCATTGTTCACGGTGTCGGATGATCTGGTAGAATCTCTGACGTTTATTTCACAAATGAATTATTTCTAGTCTATCTTCATAACAAAACGCTCTTAACAATTTGTTTTGTCAAAAACTTGGTATGATACTCACATTTGCCGCTCATTACGGAAAAAAGCTTAATAAACGTTTTGATCTACGTGTTTTTTATAAGACAGGTAAAATAGCGTAAAGAATATTACAGGTTTTTTTCAAAAACCTCTTCTTTCAATAAACTATCAATAAAGTTTTATATACCACATACTCTTAATGCGCGTATGTAATTTTTTTCGTTTTTTTTAAGATATGTACTGCTTATGCAACACTAACAAATGAGCAACGAAATAACAGGCAAGCAAAAGACATCCTGACTATATACATAGAGAGGGAGAGAGAGAGACAGGCAGGTATAATTCCAGGGTAACGATTTACTGAAGACAAACTGTGTGTCCACTTAATCAGAAAATACCGGAGCATTATATCATTACGAGAAAAAGGTATTTTTTGCTTGTACTGCTATACGATGGATGTATCTGAATTTGGCTGCCCCAGGAGCAAAAAAAACCTAGTGAAGAAGCTAAAAGAATGTGACATCTAGCAACAGCGTAATAACAATAAAAAGATAGAAAACAAGAAAAACACATTATATATGCATTATACTTCTGCATAGTTTTAATCATTTCCAATACCCATTGCATGAAAAGCCACTGGACAAGTAAATGCCATGTTGAAGCCTGTTGCAAAATATGTCAAATAATAATATGGTATTTCAATCTTAGCCAAACGTTTACATTCAGGTTTACGATAATCTACACCATAAAATAAACATGTTAACCTTAATACAATTGTTTTAGCAATTTGTCTTGTTAAAAGAATAAGTATTGCACCAAACGTTGGGCGTAATAAACAACGTAAGTAATTTGGATAGATAGGTGCATATTTTGGTGATAATATGGGTTTTAGGAGTAAACCCATAGTATTCATTATTGATGTAGCCGAGTAGAATCCAGACACACTTCCTAATATAACTGTTGTATCGTTGCGTGCTCCAGACCATTGTTTTCTAGATGGATAAAATCGAATTAATAGATAACCAATAATGAAATTAAAAAGTGGAGCCATTGAAAAATTGATTTGAAAATTATCAATTGCATCAACGTACGGAAACATTAAATAACTTAGAAACAATGCATAAATTACACCAGCAATAACATCCTAAAAGGGAAAAGCAACACATCTATTTGTAACTCATAACAATAACTGACGATACTTTATTTGCTCAACTCTATTAAAACACTAATTAGGAGACACGAATATAATGCCAAAAAAATCATTGTATTTAATTGTTCAGCTAAACATTGTTTTAGCTAGGTATGCACCAGTACCAGTATGGTGGGTGCCAAAGGCTCTGATGCCCAGTATTCACTGGTCCGATAAACCAATGTACACGCTGGTAGTGCTACATAACTTTCTAGTGCAGATCGTTCAAAATTGAAAACACTAATTAACGATAATCAGCGATTTTTTCATATATAGGTATGCACCCAAACCAGTATGTGTGCTGGTTTACTGGGCCAGTATATACTCGGTAACCAAGCCGTTGGGATCAGATACACTGGCGCATTAAACCAGTATTAAGAATGTACCCAAAGAAATGAGTCACTTAGTATTTCACCAATATCTCTGACAATTTTCATTGGTAAGACCCTCACCCTCACCCTAAGACTCCAACTTCTTTTTCAAAGATTCCTTGTTCAATTCTCTACAAAAACTATATTAAACAGTTTTTACGCATGGTATAGATAAAGGTATGTGGATGAAACTGCGCATCATTAGTTTCCTTTAATGGTACACCCTTAATATTGGTTTACTGCGCCAGTATATCTGGTCCCAACGGCTTGGTTACCGAGTATATACTGGCCCAGTAAACCAGTACACATACTGGTTTGGGTGTATACCTATATATGAAAAAATCGCTGGTTATCGTTAATTAGTGTTTTCAATTTTGAACGATCTGCACTAGAAAGTTATGTAGCAGTACCAGCGTGTACACTGGTTAACTGATGATAACGTACTAGAAAAGAATGCATTCCTAAATAGACACGACTGAGACACACCCATACACATATAATTGCCGCACAGATTATTCCAATCCATATGTTAAACTAAAGAAGAAGAAAGAAACAATGCTACGTCAAAGTTTTCATTAGCAAATGTGAACTGACTCAGACACTTTTTTACTCACATCATAGCGCTGCAGTGATAGCAAAACAAATGATACAGGTACTCCTGCAGCAAACATTGCATGTGTGGATGGAAACCCATATTCTTCCAAATAGCTAAACAAGAAATGGTGAAAGTCTCCAAAGTAGAATAATCAACAAAAGTAGCGGCATTCCTGTAGGCTAAGAACCATGATAGTTAGGGACTTCTTATTTTGTATGGTCATATCTCTCTGCACAGGATTCATGACTTGAGAAAGAGAGATCTAGTTCGTTTTGCAGCTTGAGACTTTCTGTCATAATTCATTCTTTCTCTGCCTTAGAAAGAAAATAAAACTTTCCTTAAAAAAATTACAAGAAAATAATGCAGTAAAACGCAAATTAACTTAGAAGATAGTTGGCAAGTGTGCGGTCTGGTATCGGAAATTTAGCAGTTAGCCATAGCTTAAGCATCTAGCACTTTAAAGCATTATAACAGCAGCTAGAAAATATACACAACTAATTTTGAATACACATACAGGAAACGAATCGAATTTTCTATATACTAGACAACGATTGAAGTGATGCAGTTACATTATACTAGTCACTAGTGACGCACATAACCTTTAGTGTGTATAACATTAAACTGTATACGTACAGGCTTTCTCAGAATAGCGAACTGACGTATTAATTACAGTAGGACGTAAAACCCACTGACTATTGATTGATATAATATCTATCAATAGCCGATTTTTCAGATGCTCGTAATGCTGCCTGTTTATTGATTAATAATTACTCATAAACAGCTAATTTTTAGGACACTAGAAAGCATTATAACAACAGCTGGCTGCTGCTGTTATACCAGGTTGTCTGGATTTTGCCGCCACGGTCTCTTATACAGAATATGATAATCTGGAAAATGAAATTTTTTGATTTGACTAATAGCTGACGCGAGGGGGTTGAGGGAGGCGCCCCTTCCCCCCCAACAATCAAAAAGATTCTTTTTTAACAGCAGAATAAAAATAAATTGCATGGCTACATACTGACAAAGTGTCATCGAAATCTGTATTTTTCTGCAAGGCGAAGCTGACAAAATTTAGTGTTTACGTATGTTTCTGCGTACTCACAACATTTTTTGAGCTCTTCACTTTTTTAATGAGAAAGGGTGCTACTGTTTAGACAGTTAGACTAAGTAAAACGTTGTCATCGAGTTCAAGTTTTTTATTAGAAGTTTCCCAATAACGATTAGAACTTTCTCTAACCGAACTGCAGCACATACCGATAAATTCTGCGCCTCTAAGCTAAACTTTTGCTTTATTTGTGAAGTTTTTCGCTAGAAACATACCGTTTTTCTAATTGTAACACTGGTGGTGTTCGAGGTCTTGGAAGTGCTAAGACATGAAGGAAGACAGAAAAGAAGAATGAAACTTTTCTGGAGAGAAGAGTGAAAACAGCATGTATTCTGCTGTTACATGATGGATATTCTTTCTTTGATTCCAACCTAATATATCTTTTGTGGCTTGACCAATGTACATGAAGAATGCCCACAATACAGCTGATTTTCTGGCTACTAAACCATCAACATTCCATACTAGAAAAGACTCAGCATGTTAAAACTTTAGGTAACAGTGTCACTTTTTCTCTTTATATCTGCGTACCCCATATTGGGAAAAATAATAAGCAAAAGATTTCATTTCCTAAAATTAAAAAGTCAGACTTAGCTATTAGAAACTTTTGAATTTTTTCTTGAGGTGTGTACGAGATAAAAAAATTGCCTTCAGCTGTGTTCCTAAACGAATAGGATACAAACAGAGCTATGCTGTATTAAGAATATTGTATGGGACCATACGTACGTCATCATTATCAGTTTGAGAAGGGCTCATTTCTTGCTTTTGTTTTGTCTCATTTCCTTTGGATTTCTCATGCGTGGCTTTATTTCATTCAAAAATAGCAATTTTTTCTCGAACATTTATGTTATATTGGGATTATACTCGTTAACAATAGAACGACGGTTCAACGATAATGCTTGCGACAAGTTATACTCTGAGAGATTGTTTGTACACACAGTACTCAATGAAATTTTCTCTTCATGTGGAAGAGCATAATGAGGAAGCTCCGTATCAGAAAACTTGTGGAGATCAAGCAGTAACATTCAAATATTGAGCTAATGAATATATAAAGCAACAGGTTTCTGAAATGACACATTTTTTTCGATAGACTAGCTCAAAATACCGTCCCTGTAAGTACAGATTATCTAAGAAGGACTCATGAGACTCACTACGGATACTTTCAAAATTCGACAGCTTCAGAATATCATTTCTACTGTGGACATGTCTTTCATTTAACGCATAGAAAGAACAGGAAAGCAGAGATACAGAAAAAAGACAAAATTAATTGTTTGTGGTTTTTTCTCAGCTTTTTTGATGTTATAACCTATTGCGAAAAAATTGTTAACCGTTAGCGACTAATAAATATGAATGCAAAAGAAAACAGCAAGGCGGCTAAAATCAAAGTGAATTTGAAACAAAATGTATGTGGAGTTCTGCACGTGGAACAAGTTTGGTCGGCTGCTTCATGATTCCTTTGTTCTCTTAGATTTATATTGATAGGTAGATTTCTTTTTTACTTGTTTCACTGGAACAACGTTTTTCGGTAAAAGAAAATTCATGTATCACAATCTTTTCTTGCTTTTTCTGAGCTTATTTCTGCTAAAAGCATCTGTTTTTTTATGAAATGTACAAAAATGAAAATACCTAACCTAGTGCTGATCCAAGTTGAAAAAAGTAGTACCAGTACCAGTTCTCAATCTTGTAATCAAGCATATCGTGTTGCTCATCCAATTCTATGTTTGTCGTTGATGCTGTTGAATTACTTTGTTTTTGACGTTGTATTTCTTCGACACATTCATCGATCACATTTCTGTTATATGTTATCTTACGCTGCTCTTGTTGAGATTCTTGTGCTTCATGATTATTATTAGTCTCTTCTCTTTCAATGTGACAATTAGTCTGATGGAGTTTTTTTCGATTTCTATTTTGATTTACAAGTGTTGACTCAACATTTTTTGTTACACAATCACGGGGTAGTATACCGAATTCCCATTGAAACTTTGACACATGATCCGCATCATGCAACCACAATAAGAATGATTTAATTGTATGTATTATCATCGTTTGCAGATTTGAGAATCTTGACAAATAATAGAATCAGACTTTCGGGTATTTTCAAAAATAGAATACATCGGAGTTTCGCATGAGGCCATATTCCTCATTCTTTACGCATGATCAGGTTTGAGTCATTAGTCCCTGAAATTAATGGCCATTTATACCAAACATTTATTATTATGTTTATTACCTTTTCTCACTTGTAAGCGCCTAACGCATAGTCACAATAATGTTATCGTCAGTTAACAACTACAGAAAATAGTAGAGAAACAACCTCAAATTTTTCAATCCATATCCGTTGCTTAAGTGTATGTCGCGATTGTTCAGCTTAGAAGGATTTTGTGAGCAGATAGTATCTTGTGTTGGTTGTTTTAAATAATTCCTATGAACTCTTATATCATTTTGAGAAATAATCTATAAGTCCAAGTTTGTGGTAAAACAAAGAGACTACTGTTCAGTTGAAACAGCACGCGATAAAATAGGAAAGTAACTTGTATGAGCCAATATCTAAGACATTTGGATAACCATTGGGAGATTTAGAAAAGATTTTCGTTCAAAAAGCAACATTGTATTCGCAATCTACACAGTAAGCTAAATATTACTCTGAAATGAGATTTCGTAACTCCCATGTCCGAACTTCTTTGATACGATGACTGTTTGAAAGTAGAGGGAATTGTAGTTTGAATTGTTTTTCTCTTTTCAATTAAAACCGGTCAAAAGCACGTATGCATCAAAACTACTAGTACGTAACTGGTGTACCAGAAGAAATAAGTCACTTAGTATTTCATCAATATCTCTGTCAATTTTCATTGCCAAGACTCCAACTTGCTTTTAAAAGATTTCCCGTTCAATTCTCTACAAAAACTATATTGAGCACTTTTTATGCATGGTATAGCCACAGGTATATGGATGAAACACTGCGAAGCTTCAGTCTCCATTACTTTGTGAGAACTCCATAAGAATATCAAGAGCTTTCTTTAATTTATGCGAAAATATGTAACGTTGGAATTCTTTGATATCGATAATCAACTAATGAGTGTTTATAATAATCAGAAATGTTCATACCATTTTATTTATTTCTACAAACAATATAACAAACAATATAACAAGAAAAAATAAACCCTAGAAAAGAGAAAATGAATCTTTTGTTATTCTTTTGTATTTGTTTGAGTTACACGTAATATCTATCAGTAGATATACGATGATTTTTGTCCGTCACTAGCCATATTGCTGATTGTTTATGTAAATATTTATCAGTATCATTATTTATATTTTAAAATATGGATTTGTTAAATCAGGATTAATTTTACCTTTAATATTTATCCCTGAAAAATTTGTTTTGGTTGATTGGATATTTTCGCTATCATCATCATCATCCAATATATGAGTTCATGACGGAAATGAATTACAAAATAATTCAAAATTTATACATATGTGATAGATACATAAGTATCTGTCTCTACATCTATATTATATAATATAGAATGTATAATTTATAGTATAAAATATATAATTTTATTATATAGATATATTCTACATATGTTATATATATAGTAAAACTATGAGGTACTATAAGGTACTATAAGGTACTATAAGGTACTATAAGGTAGTATTAGGTACTATAAGGGACTATTGGGTACTATAAGTAGTCAATTGTTCCACATCTTTCACTTCGCATTTGGATAGTCAAAGAGAATTCAAAAACACCAATTGATAGTCTTAGCCAAGGTAAATCAGCTGCTATCTGTTTATATCTAATGGAATGAGAATCCAATAATATAGGTACTCCTGTTAGTCTTTCTTCATATCTGAATCGAACAACATTACGACCATGGTTTCGTTATTTGAAATTCTTTCTTACTGGTTTAGCTAAATTCTCTGCTCAGTGTTTTATCCAAGTTTTTTTTCTCCGTGAAGGCAGTTTTGGTTTTCGAGAGGGCAATTAAAAATTCTGTAGGGAGAAGTCACTGTCAGAACTAATTTAATATTATCCGATTAGTTTTCTAAAGTTTATACATTTTTCATAAGTGATGCAAAACTACTTTTTTCTACTTTATGTATTTGCACAAATAACTGAGAACAAGAGAACATATAACAAGTACAATAAATACCAAGAAGACCACATATAGAAAAAAAAACTAATACGTCTAGAACAAAGAAGATATTGCAAGAATATTAGAAATATCAATCCTTCATTCTAAACAGTCAAACGACGCTGTTTTTTTAGTTTCTAAATCTAAACATCTGGTCCTTCGATTGAAATCCGCATCAATTGATCGACAAGATCAGTTGTTAGTGGATTTCTCAAGTCCGTAAGAATTCTACCCGTTGTACAAAATTAACGTTCGACTGTGGCAGTACTTATTGGTGCACACGGGAAGATTTCGGCTACTAACGACAGCTGAGGATCAACTTCTTTCAACGTTTCATCTTGAACAAGATTAATACATAATTGTCCTTGTGTCATTACTTGTCCATTTTGTTTTCGCTTGAGTAGATATTTTCGGAATGTTTTCCATTCATACGTTATTGATTCATCAAAATCATGCGAGTAATGCGTAAGAAGAGAAGCTAGTTCTTCTTCAACATAATCATCACGATCATTAACATTTTCCATTTCAAATATTGAGAAACAATCCAGATTCTCGAGAGGGTGAGGATGTGAGTTTCAAGAGGAGAACAATTCCAAGTAGCTTACAACGTTTCGTCCTTGCTTAAGGGACTCATCAGGCAAGTTCGGAATCGTCCATTGCAGAGAGAATCAATTCTCAATCGAGAAAGAGTGAAAGCTATGGAAGTCAATGAAGACAATCCAACAGCTAACAAGCTTTTTCGGAGAAGAGACTGAAAGAATCGCAATGTAATCTCGAAAGGTGAGTTTCAAGAGGAGAACAATTCATTGGCCCAACAATTCAGTACAAACACCACTATTATGCGTATTAATAGGTCTTTTTCGTGTGATTCGTAAGGATACCTATGGGGTACATATACTGTTGAGAACTGTGAGTAGTGGAGAATTGTAAGAATACATATCTCATTACATATACTATTATGGAGAACTGGAGAACTGTGAGAACTGGAGAACTGTATAGTCATCCCAAAAGCAGATTTATGATTTGTAAGAACGAAATTGTTCCTGATGACGAACGAGATTGTTCTTTGACGTATTTTTTCATACATCCAGTGTGGCATATAATCAGGCAGAGTGAACATTCTCTATTTAGGTTCACAAGATTATAGTATGGCAGTTGATTTAAATCTAGAAAATTTCAGTTTATCGTGCAAAATACAAACAGTGTCTAGAGAAGATCGTAATTCAGAGTTGGTACGTGAAAATATATCAACATCAGCAGCGGCGACAACACGTACAAGACAGAAGCGAAAACCTACTCAAAAACTTTTAGAAAAAGAATCAATTTCCAAAAAACGAAACCATGGTCGTAATGT